GACAAAATTAAATACGCAAACGGAATTTCTTTGAATAAGCCCTGCGAAATTCGAGAAAAAAAAATACCGATGAAAAAAGCAACAAATCTAACATCAACTGTTGAATGAATCAGTGCCGGTTGCCCATGTATTGGCAACGAATATAATGTATACATGCATACTATTTATGTGTGTGGGTTGTATTTTTTTTCTAACTGCAGCCGCACTCTGAAAAGCAGCTGATTCTGCAACCGCACGACCGATGTAAATGACCGCATAACCGTTAAAAAGGCGTCAAAGTGTATGGCACAAATGTAATAAGATTGGGGAAATTTCATTGCATTTATGGTTGCATTAAATTTAAGTAGATGAAAACGAAATGCTGCACTAAATTGGGTAATTTTGAACTGCATAAGTAGTTCTGCACTGGATGTAAAAGAAAAAGCTTCGTAAGGGCTAACGATCGATATGGTTCTAAAAGTTTGAAACTAAAACCAATTTATGGAGAAAAGAAAACACTACACTAAGGTAAAAAAATATTAAAATCAACCAGAAACGTAATTGATCTTACTATAAACGTCAACGAAAGTACTGTGTATTGGTAAATATTCAATGCATGCGCGTATATTAACCGGCAAAATAATTTTTTTTTTTATATTCTTTTTAATATGATCCCAATGTATTTTGTCTTGTAAATACAAGCAGCCAGCAAAAAAAATGTGAAAATGGACCCGAAAAAGCAAAAAGGATTGTGGGGCAGAAACAATGTACAGAAAACAACCGCAAATTATTTTGAAACGGATACGTTTTTGGCTGTTTTTTTTTTAATTTTTCGTTCAGCGCGCTTTTCTTCTTTTCTTCTGTTATTCGTACCTCGTACCTTCAGAAAGCTAACAAATACTGGCATGATCCTAAGTTGGAAACTTGGATTTATATGGTTTTGTTATGGAATGAACAAAGTTTTTATAAAAAAAAAATAATAATAATAATTAAAATTAAATAATGAAAAAAATGTTATACAAAGAACAAACTTTTTATAAAAAAAACATAATTAAAATTGAATGATGAAAAAAAATATCAAAACTGGTTAATATGTGGATATCGTATAGGTCTGATAAGCACTATAAAGGGTGTCCTAGACCACCTATCTACCCGTCCACCACTTCTAAAATGGACTAAATTTCTTTTATTGGAAATCGAAAAATTCGAATCACCAAGTCAGGGATGCTCTATATTTTAGCCGTATTAACGACTTTGGATTTCCACCGGAACTGACCGCAAGTCAGATTCTGCCGAAACAAAAACACATAACTTTTGTCGGAAACTTTTTTCTGGAAAGGACTTCCGGTCTGTTAAGCCCACTTCCGGTCGTAACCGGTAGACGGTAATACGACCAAAAGATAGAGCATTCCCGACTTGGTGATTTTTATTTCTTCGTTTTCCAATAAAAACATTTTCGTCCATTTTAGCAATCCAGGACGAGCTGAAGTTCGAAGGTGATTTAGAGGTTGAAAAAGACACTTCCGTTAAAAAAAAGTTTCAAACAAAAATTACGTACTTTTATGCGCAGAATACGAACCTGTGGTAAAAACATGTATATCGTCTTAAAAAAAAAATAACTTCCGGTCAGTTTTAATTTAATCATGGCCCACTTCTCTGAAAACCAACTGCCTTTCGGGGGCAGCTTAAAATCGCCGATCTCTTGGTACTTTTCATTCAAAGTTCAGTTAAAAGATTACACAATTGCACAAAATTAAGAATTCATTTTCACAACACGACACCTAAAAAACAAACAAAAAAACACATTCAGCGAATTTCCATTCATTAGCACAAAGTGTACGAGCGTTGCTGAAGCGCCCTTAAGTATGCTTCTATCAATGCACTCTTAGCGGCTCAAGAACAAACACTCGTGTACTACTATTACTGAGCGCATAAATGTCTCGTTTCACCTTTTGAACAAAATGCGGCACATAAATTATTCAAATGGTATTATCTAAATGCAACGCTAAGAATCTTACATGCAAATTATACATATGCATATATAGCTTGCTTTTGAGAGCCTTATGAGTAGGTAAATCTGTACATATTTGAAAAATACAAACACATATGTAGTTTCTATGCATTCACCTCCTACCATAAATCATTAATTTTCAGTCGGTCTTGAATTATGCACTTTTATTCAGCCTCAGCACAGAGCGGATACCATACCCAAGTATTTACCCAGATATTTATTTCTACACATGTATGTATGTACATATGTATAATTCCATACATTCATACATAAACATATGTACACACTCGTATATACATACTTAGATTACAGTCATTAGAATTTTGACTCATTTTTGAGGGGTTGCATAAAATCATTTTGGTAAAAGTTTTAAACGCTATTTAAAAGGCTAATTCATTATGAGAAATATGTAAGTAGCACATATGTAAGTAGATAACTTAAACGTGAATTCTAACGCACATGAATTCAGTGGCAGCCAACATATGCGAATACATGCAAATGATTATTTGTGTAAATTAGGCTGACCCAAAATAAAGCAAAGTCGGAATTTTAATGATCGCACACCCTAAGATTATCCATATACCGAAAAAATTATACGCCTGCTTTTTTACTTCGAAATCAACAATTTTTTAGAGGTCGCCCAAAGCGCTCTAAATTTTGTATGTATTTTATAAGGTGAAAACACAAGTTTTCGTGGAAATGATATAGAATTCTTGAAAATCAATATTTTTTGATCGGAAAACTTTGATTCTTCACATACAAAATACCTGAAAAATTCTGAGCGCTTTGTGTGACCTCTAAATATTATTTTGATTTCAAAATAAAAAAACAGGGGTATAATTTTTTTCGGTCTAGAACTATACTAGGGGCTGAGAGCATTAAAATTCCGATTTTATTTTTATTTTTTTACCACCCTAGTGTACATACATACGTCTATCCGTTGATATCTGTTACATTAAATGCATGGTTGGAAAAGATGGGGCGCTTAGAACATATAAAATTTGGCGCCATTGCTAAACTAAATCTTTGAACATACAGTGGTGGTCACAAATAGATGAAAGGTGTTTCGTTCTTAAAATTTACAATGTTTTTCAAGTTAAAATGTTTTTGATATTTTTTTATAAGGATGTGGTTCATGTTTTAAAAAAACCATATACATCTCACTTTTAATCTTTATACAGAATTTAGAAAAATTCCATAAATTTTTTCTAAATTTCGAGCTTTTTAACCAGAATTTTTTTAAATTTTTTTAGTATGCATTTAACAGGATTATAAAATTTTAGTAAAGTTAATGCAAGTTTTGAGCTTTTTCGGTTTTTTTTTTGTCATTTAAAAAGCGAAATTATGGAAAACGGGCGTTGACTTTTTTTAGTGTTGGGCAGTATCGATCCCAAAAGTACCCAGAACACGATTCTCAAAAGGATCGAGAGCACCCGATTTTTAAAATTATCGAGTTTTATTTACTTATTTACATTTAACGGTATTCAGAAATGATTGTACTCAATTTGCAGTTTCAATAATTTTCTAGTACGATACTTGTACCCAGTACAGTTAGCCATTCATTTGACGAAATTTGGGATTCATATATTAATTTGAATAAAATATTGCCAGCTTGTGAGATTTCTACATTGAAATGTTACCAACATGTGTATATTTAAAGAAAGTACTCAGTACTCTGAAAAATACCCGATCCTTAAAAGTATCGATACCGAAGAACTCAATCCTCAAAAATACTCGATACTTCCCAACGCTGCTTTTTTTTATTTTTTTCGCAAAAGGTACTTAAGGTACTTATATAGAAAAAAGTTCAAAACGCCTTCAACAAAAAAAAAAATATATATATATATATCAAAAATCAATGCGATTTTTTAGCCGCTCAACGCTTGCCCTAATTTTACTAAAATTGTATAATCCTGTTAATTTCATAACAAAAAAAAATTTTTAAATTCTGGTTAGAAAGCTCGAAATTTAGTGTAAAGATTTTGGATTTTTTCTAAATTATGTATATAGTTTAAAAGTGTGATTTATATGGTCTTTCTTAGAGTACGAACCATATTTTTATAAAAACAAAAAAAATAAAAAATTTATAATCATAGCTTTAAAAACATTGTAAATATTAAATACGAAACACCATTCATCCACTTTTGACCGCCACTGTATGTACTACACATATATGTACATATATACTACAAAGCGGAGGAGGATAGTGGGTTGATTTCAAAAATGGTTGAAGCATAAAAACGAGATAAGGAAATAACATAAAAATTATTAGACGTATAGAATGTAGATGTTGATTGTAGTCAAGTCTTTTTCACAAACGAGTTTTGCTTAAGGATGGCATACCCAAGTAAGCGTGTCTGGTACACGAAACTTTCAGGAAATGTTTATGTTTAAGAATGCTTCATAAACCAAGGATTTGGCTCTATATGTAAGGTTAGGTTAAAGTGGCTACCAGTAGGCCCCACTAGCAAACCTAGGACCGTAATTGTGGAGCCGTTGTGATACCACTTGGATCGTGAGATCTCCACTCTCTATAATAACTCTCTGGTCGTATCGAAAAAAGGCTCAAACAGCGGAAGAGATACAAGTAATTGCTATTGATAAGACTAAAATACCCTAAAAAAGGTTGCTCAAATGCTGACTACGTTAATAGTCAATATATAAGTACAGTTTAGTCTGGGTAAATTGAACTAATTTTGGCAAGGCAATTTCACAATATCTTTTATCGAAATAGCACTATAAAATTGACTTCCTCTACGCCAACTAGCAATTGTTCACTCGCCAGAGCAGTAGACACATTAATGTTCACTCTTTCGGGACGTTAGGCGTTGCGGTGGTTCATTCCCACCAGACTACACTGTATGCATCAATAAATATATTAGCCACAAATAATTGTCTTTAATTAAATAAATTTTTAACTACTTTTCAAAATTCTATTCACTATATCTGCGTACTTTCAAGCATGCCAAAAATGTACTTATTTTCATTTTCATTCTAAATTCTCACTCACCTCGAGCTCAACAGTCGCTCAGCTTCGTCGGCAGTCATGTCATCCGGTAGACTGTCCTCGCGCGGTATTGCTACATCTGCCGCCACCGCACCGGCCGCTGCCACAACAATCGTCTGTTTTTCCTCCTCCTCACCCTCCTCGGCTACTGTCGTCAGCGTTGCTTCGCTCACCTCCACTTGCAGCACTTCGTCTTCATCGTCATCATCGTCGTCCCCAATTGCGCGCATCAAATCATCTTCATCTTCCCCAGCACTGCTGTCTGCATACTCCAGATCCTGCATATCTAAAGCGCTACATGGCCCACCACCAACGCCGACTGCAGTCGCTATAGTTGCGTGTTGTACTGCACTCAATGGTGGTGGTCGCTCAGGCAATGCCGGCAACTCAGAGCTATCGAACTCCTCCTCCTGTGCAGCAAGCGAGGCGATGGGTGTCACCACCCCCTTGCCCGCCACTGCCACAGCAATCGACGGAATTGAGCGCGTATTGTTGGTCGATGTCGAATTTGCGGTGCCGGTGCCGCTGCAACTGCCACTACCGCTGCCGATTGATGTTGGCGAGATGGGCGGTGTTGACTTCACACTCACATCTGAGCTGCGCCGGCGTATGGGCGAAACCACACCAACTGGCGGTGACGAGATCGCCGCCGATTTCACCGGTGAACCACTGAGGCCGGCACTGCCGCTGCCAATAGATTTTGTGGGCGAATGCAATAAGCTAGCTCCAACGCGTTCTCGCTCCTTAGCTAGCTTCCCACCTGGATAGTACAGCTCAACGGCGGCTGTTGTTACCTCAGTTTTTATGGTCGCATAAACAGTCGTCGTTTCTTGCGCAAATCCGTTGGCATGGAATTTCTTGTGCATTTCAGTCACTTTAGCCGTGTCGTACAGCTCGGATTCGCCAAAAACCTCATGCGATTCACTACCATCCGGGTTGAGACGATAGCCCACATCAACATAATTCAAACTGGGCTTCTCTGCCTCCTCATTCGCTGTTGGCTGACTGCGGTCGCATTCGTCGACGTCGGCACTCACGCCACTCACCGCTCGTCCATTGACCGTTTCAAAGTCGTATGCGGGCTTTAGTTTGGCTTTGATCTCGGGTGAGGGTTCATTGAAGCCACCCTCGTCGAGACTGGTGCTTGTAGAAATGATGCTGGGTGGGCGTGAGCCTAAGCCAGCGGCTGGCAATTGCACGGAGATACTTGAGGAGATACGTTTTGTGGATGCTGCCGTCGACGCAGACGACGATGCGGACGATGCAGCTGCGGATAATGAACGTTGGGGTGACATGGCATTGGAATGATTTTGGACTTGAATTTGCTGCTGCTGCTGCTGCTGATTTTTCATCATGACATCGGTGACATCCTGACGTTCGGATTTGTTGGAGCGTCCTGTAAATAGGCGAATGAAAAAAGAAAATTAATTTACTGGCTGCAAGTGGGAGAGTTCGATGATCATTTTATTTCAATAAAATTTATTTAGGAACTTATGATATAATAAATATAATGAAACAGTAACCTTTGACACACAGCGATGATCAGAAGGATCATGAAAATCGTACAGTCCAAAAAGCAAAAAAAAAATTCTGAAAAAATCTTAAAAAAATAAATGCATTTATTTTACGTGTTGCCACCTATTTCAAAATTAAATTGTAAAAAAAAAATATTGCAATAAAAAGTGTAATTTATCAAACTGTAGGTATTCAAGCCGGTTTCAATCGAAAATTGATGAGAGTTGCCACCCAGAGAAAAAAGTAATATTTTTATAATGTTTAAAATATAACACTATTTACAGCAAAAGAATAATGTTGGAAAAAGTTTTAACTTAGCCAATATTGAAATAGGGTTGCCCACTATAACAATTTAAAATAGTAGATTATAAAAATTATTCACATAGGGGCATGAAATAAAATGCACACTAAAAAACTTGATTGCTTTTTACCTCCCTTTTATTAGCTCGGGATGTAACTATGTAATATTGATGCGCCTAAAAGATGCAGCGATTTCTATTCTCAAGTTACATACCAGATGACAGTACGAATGGAAATTACAATAGCGAGGTTTTAGTTTTTTAAACTATAATTTTATTGTACAATTATGAATAGAGTCGCCAGAATGAGTAAATTATGAAATCAATAATAAACATATAAATTCAATATAGTGTGGCACCCATGGTTTTTTAAGTTTTTTTTTTTTTTTAATTTTATAAGAAATTCCGAAAATTCAAACCTGAATAACTTTATTTAAAAATTTCCATTTGACACCTGTCAACTGTCAAAGTTTTAATTCGACAAAACTCGCGTCTAGCGTGCCTAAAAACCTAATTAGTGGTATTTTCAAAAATATTTTTTTTTATTTTTAGAGAAATTGGCAGTTGATTTGACAGCTGTCAACTTTCACACTATAAATTTTATGGCGTTTTAGGATTCCGTATAAACAAAAATACTACGATCCTGGAGCCCTTCTAATTTGTCGCGTAAAACATGGCTTCTCCGACCACGGTGCAACGTGACAACATAAGTGCGCGTGTGTCAAAATTTTTGGATTTTTCACATTTTTAAACTACAAGTACAAAAATTAAAATATTTTGAAAATTTTTTCGAATTTGATGAGTCTTATCCAAGGCTAGAATTTATTTGAGAGTTATCCTGCAAAAAAGCACCACTGTGGCACGATTTTGCTTCGAAAATGGTAACAAGCATTTCTCCAGAAGCAGTGCACAGTCTTTTCACTTCATTTGATGCGATTTTAATCGAAGTTTCAGGCATTTTTCTACTTCGAATGCGACCAATAAAATCATACAAAAATAAATTGGGAAAATTAAAAGTAAGTAGCATTAATATTTTAATCTATTAATATTTATTTTGAACTTCGCGTTGTTAATTGATTAAAATATAATAGGAAATAAGTTCCGCATTTGACCTAAACAAGTCTTTGTAAATATTTTAAAAATTTTTATTCCCACTCTTAATTTGAATTTTTAAAGCTCATTACGCAGACTGAAGATATTTTCTCAGAGAAGCAGGATTTCTTTTCTATAATAAGGGATTAAAATAAAATAGCACCTTTTAAGACCTATACAAATAATAAACATAAAGTTGGCTACAAATCGTTGGACCAACATTTTTTCTACAAATTCCGATTCAGTCGCTAATGGTGTTTGCCGCTAAAATAAGTAATGAGAAAATGGAGGTGCCATACTCGATATCGAAAAAAATTTGATTTCGGCAAACGAAAACCAAATACTCGATATATTGTTACTGGCTTCGATAGTTTTGAAGCTCTGGTGATCATCCCACGATCGAATCCGCACGAATTTCTTCACAGTCTCAACATCACAGGGTGTGCGTGTGAGGTACAAATTTGCCTATGGATATCCTTTTCTCGGTTAAGATAATAATATGTATTAGCTGGATGAGCTAGAATCTGAACGGATTTGACCGTTGCATAATGGTCTAGTTCCGCCAGAAGAACTTGCAGGGTTAGACATTTTTTTAAAGAATCGACCTGTTTGTGACAATCGCCATAAAAACATTATCTTGCCTAAGAATGGTTTAAAGCCGGTTGTTGTTGTTGTTATTTTTGTTGTTGTAGTGGCTACAAAAATCTCTTCCAGATCGGTTAATATCTCAGTCGTTGCCGTCAAGTTCCACTAACGGCAGCCCCCGGGCATACGAAGAGCTGTTTCGAGTTATGAGGGGTCTCTCTGCATGCCGGACACTCACTTGGCACATCTGCGTTTAGTCTGCTCAGGTATGAGTTTAACCTGCTGCAGTAGCCAGAGCGAAGTTGGGCTATTGTGGTTCTTGTCTCCCAAGGCAGATGAAGCTTCGTCTCGTCAGTGTCCGGTGGTTGTGCGCCTAGAACGGCATTCCCAGATCTGGAGTCTACATAACTGGAGACTGACTCCCTGTGAATGCCGTTCAAGGCCTGTTGATATGCTGACGTTTCCAGAGGCTGCTTAATGAACCTATGGACTTCTCCGTCAGTTCGTAGAGATGCCTCCTGACGTGCCTGGGCGAGGGCTCTTCTGCAAGCAGTTGTCTATTTGGGTGGCCACGTCTACGGCTCCCAACCAGAAACTGCTTGCAGAGCATTGTGTTATGCTCCTTAACGGGGAGCATTTTCGCCTCTTCGTGCAGGTGGTATTCTGGCGGCATCCCGTCGCTGTCTTAAGAGCAGTGTTTTCTGTCGTCTGTAGCTTCATCCACGGAGTCCTGCTAGTCCCCGGCGACCACACTGGTGCTGCGTAATTTAAAACCGTCCGGCCTATTGCCTTGTATGTTGCCAGCAACGTTTCTTTGTCTTTGCCCCAAGTACTGCCCGCTAGCGACTTGAGGATCTTGTTTCGGCTCTGTACTTTGTTGACAATAGCGGTTGCGTGCGCAGAGGAGAACAGACTATCGATGGTTACTCCGAGAATTTTGGGATTATTCACCGTCTGAATTGGTGTATCATCGACGTGAATTCCCAGTGGTAGCCTGACCTCCTTCGTCCAGATGGTGAACAAGGTCGCAGAGGATTTCGCAGGGGAGAGGGCTAGGCTCTTTGCAGTGAAGAAGCGAGAAAGCTCGGAGGGATACCCGTTTACTTTCGAGCACATGTCATCAATTCCATTCCCAGTCGCCATGATCGAGCAATCGTCGGCGTAAGAGACAATCGAGACTCCCTCTGGTGGTTGAGGGAGCTTTGAAATATAAAAGTTAAACAGTAGCGGGGAAAGGACCCTACCACTGTCTGAGCCTCTGTGGGAGAGAGGAAGCCTCTATATCTTCTAGTAGCGTGGAATGGCTACTAACCGCTGTGGTAAATTCCAGCTAACTTGAACACAATAAAGACCGTAATAGAAGTTAGAAACATTTTATGTTAATAGCCGTACGTTTCTTGTTATTTACAAACTTAAACTCTGATCTGAAAAAAACTAACACAAACATATACATATAAAACACACATAGCTTGAAGAATTGCACGAAGTACTCAGCTGGCTGAGCGATGGCGACCACTTAAACCCACACTCCATCAAGTGTGCTCAACCGAAACCGAAAGCCCGCTTCATATTCGCTGGGAGCAACTTTACCAAATCGTTTTGCAAGTTCAGCAACAAAAACGGACGCAATATCGGCCGGTCTTGCAGCTTAAAAGTCTTGCCAGCCAAATGTGAGTAGTTCTTTATGAAGTTCTTATAGCGCGCCAGTTCATATTCGAGGAAATCATTGCTACCAGGTGTCTGCTCACCACGGAGCTCGGACGCAATGGCCTTCAGGAGTGTCGCTATGCATCCATACACTTCTTGCTGATCAGATTCCACTTGTTGATTGCAGAGCGTACGTGCGGTGCTATTGTCGCCAACACTCTTACCGCTACCCATGTGTAGGCGGCTGCCAGCACAGCAGTCCGTACATTTTTCATACGAATCAACAACTTTACCATAATTGAACATTGATGGCTCTGTTGTCGTCGTCTTGCAGCCAGCAGCAGTAGCAGTAGCTCCCTCCTTTGGGTGATATGGCGCTCTATGTAGGTGCAATGTAGAAGGTAAGCTTGCATCTAGGCTTGCCTTTAGGCAAGCGGGTATATTCACATAGTGCGTCATATAGCCACAAATGAGATCGGTGGTGTTGCTGCAGTCTTTCTTCTCATTCCGCCGATCATCGTCTCCATCGCAACACACATAGTCACATTCACATGGCGCGCGTGTCTCCGCTACGAGGCAGGCCTTTTCAGGGGCTTTCATACCAGGCAGTGGCCGCGGACAGACGCGTTTTTGCTTCGCTTTACCTTCGAAGTCGATATCAAGAAATTGTTCCTGTTTTGGTGGAGCAAGGAACGGTCCCGTCAGCTTGCCATTGTTCAAACAAACCAAAAGATGACTCATACAAATGTTACGCTGTCGGAGCTCATCGGTCGTTTCAAATGAGCCCATTGCCAATTTATCCAGCCACGCCCTGACCAATTTGTATTCACGTGAGCGACAATCGAATACTTCTTCGGGTTGCTTCAAAATATCCAGAAAAAATATAAAGTTTTCCTTTAACTGGTAATTGATATCTTCTTGTGAATTCATGATTTACGCTGAATTTTGATAAGTGAACGTGTATTTTTAATTTGATTAACTTGACGGAGTTTATGTCAAACTTGAGTGAGGAATTCGTTGTAACTCGTTAGTTTGTCAAATTTCAGTTTTCCAATTGCAATTGGGAAACGAAGAATTTGTTTCCCGATTTTGACAATCTCTGCGTAGTTGAAAACAAAACGTGTTTTTTGACTTCTACGTTACATTTAATAGTATCTGATTTTTTCCTTTTTTTTTACATATTTTTTCTATTCAATCGCTGGGTTGTATTGCTAGTTATTTCGTAGGAAGTGGAATATTTTTCCAAGTCGGCTGTTGA